GAACTGCAACCCCGCCGTGCCCCACCGCAAGGAGCTTGGAGACGGTGGACACGCCACACGCAAACAACCACGTCAGGGAGGGGCCAGTGCTGGTGGCCACGTGGCTACAGGACAGCCTCATGCCCCGAATGCCATGGCCCAGGCCACGCACCAGAAAGCCCCTTACTCATGGCGGGCAGTGGGGAAATGTTACCCCTGCCAGCAGCACCGGGTGGCCAGGGTGACCGGCCTCTGCCAGGACGGAGCAGGGCTCTCTGGCTGTGCTCCCTCAGCAGCACGTTGATTAGATGCACGCCTGCTCCAGGCTGACCAGTAACCAGGGCAGGATGCCCGCCTGCTCCAGGCTGACCAGTAACCAGGGCAGGATGCCCGCCTGCTCCGGGCTGACCAGTAACCAGGGCAGGATGCCCGCCTGCTCCGGGCTGACCAGTAACCAGGGCAGAATGCCCACCTGCTCCGGGCTGACCAGTAACCAGGGCAGGATGCCCGCCTGCTCCGGGCTGACCAGTAACCAGGGCAGGATGCCCGCCTGCTCCGGGCTGACCAGTAACCAGGGCAGGATGCCCGCCTGCTCCGGGCTGACCAGTAACCAGGGCAGGATGCCCGCCTGCTCCGGGCTGACCAGTAACCAGGGCAGGATGCCCGCCTGCTCCAGGCTGACCAGCAGGAGGACAGGACGCGGCCGCTAGGACGAAGCAGCCTTCCGCATTGAAGACACTCCCCAGTAGCCCGAAAGCACAAACGCCCCTCAGGCGGCCGCGTGTCACTAAGCAGCGTCCCATATTTAAGTCAAGCTTAGAGACAAAGGCCTCCTATAAGCTAAGATTTTACCCAAGAATGCGTAACAGGAATGAAGACACTTTCTAAACCAGGGCAGAGCCCAGGGCTGGAATAAGTGGGGAACAGGGACGTGCGCTCTAGTTTGAGAACTGAGCGATCCACCCCGAGCTGTAAGCTACTGTGTCAGAAGCTACCAGCTGCCTGTCAACAGCTACCCCCTCCTTCCAAACTCCAATGTTTTCAGAGTCACAAGGTACCCAACTTACAAAAAAAAAAAAAAGGCTGCAGTAACCAGACTCCCTTGCTGGATGAGGGGGTCACCAGAGCACATGTAAGCCAAGTCCCTGTATGCCAAGTCCCATGATGGAGCTTCTAGGAGCACTCGTCCAAGGGGAGCACCTGGCTACCAGCATCTAGTCTGCTGTGGGTCTTCTCTCCCTCACCTCGAACAAGAACATGATCCTAGATCGGGATCAAGCGTCCTACATTGAGGATTAAATCCCACATTGAGGATTAAATTGGAAATGAAGCCACAAGCTACACCACATGCGAGGAATGGCTGAACACGATGGCAGAGGAGCTGGGACCTGTGGAAGCAGCATGGAGACCCCCTAAGATCCTGAATCCCTATCCCCTGACTTCAGTTACAAGAGAAAAGTGAAGCATCTATTTGGCTACATCACTGTTTTCTCTTTTTTTTTTTTTTTTAAGATTTATTTATTTATTTATACAAGCACTACGGGAGGGTGAGAGAATTCACCAGAGCCAGAGCGGAGAGAAGAGCAGGCAGACTGATGAAGTACACTGCTGAGGGGAGCAGCGGGCGGCAGGAGAGGTCTGCGCGCCATGTGGGACCCTCACCCAGCGGCCAGGGATCGAACCGGCGCTGCAGAGGCTGCGGGCAGCTGCGCAACCCAGAGCTCAACCGCTGCGCCACCAGGGGAGGCCCAATAAGTGTTTTCTCTTATGTCCAGCTCACCCTATTCTTATATGATGCAAGTTGTAGGAGATCATTTGCTTTGCAAAAATCTTTACTGAATTATTTGAAAGGTAAGGCGCCATGAACTAGGAATTAATTTGATTTGCAAATTGCCTTCCTGATAGATACAGAATATGTAGAAGGCCCCAATACGCTGGACAACTCTCTTCCACTAACACGGGACATTAACAACTCACACCGTGGGAACCGCAAATGTCTACTCACCACCTCGGAGAAGATTCTGGCAATGCCCTAGCCAAGGTCCCGGGAAGACGAGGTGGAGTGCAGCCAAACCACCTGGCTCAAACACTGCTCTGCCACTTACCACTCCTGTCACCTCCTGTCACAGTACTCAACCTTTCTGTGCCTCGGTTTCCTTCATTACAAAGTGGAAATAATTGCTCTTATTTCAAAGGGAGTTGTGCATTTTAAATAAGTTAATACTTCTACAATGTGCCTGCCACATTGCTAACAGGAACTGAGGATCTGCTAATATTACCAAATGAGTGACAGCATTGCCTAGAGATGAATACAAGTGAAAGTTATAAAAATAAAAAATAATAACTTAAAAGTCAGATGAATTCATTCGGTAGATATCAACCTTCTTCCCAATGCTGCCTCTGCCTAATCACAGCAACAGGAGTGCAAGGTGGAGGTCGTGGCCAGGATTAGGCAGTTGGAAGCCTGAAGTTTGCAGCAGGACTCATGATCACCATTCCACACTCACGCAATACCAGGAGTGGCACAGTCTACATGAAGAACAGCTTATCAGTAGGATGTATTTATAAAGTAGGGTTTGGGTACAGAGGTTAGCAAAGAGCTAAAAATAGTCCTATAAACAAACCAGCTTGCATAAGTCAATAGCTTATTAAAAAGTCAATACTGTCATACTACAATGAGAAATATTCAAGTAATGTGCCATGCAATGTGGCAGAATTTCGCCTCTTGCCATCTAAGAACCAGTCACACATTTGCTCCTTTTATCTTCTTCAGATTTTAACACAGAAAATATCCAGGTCATTCAGTGAGGCTGTGCTTAGGGTCCCAAAGGGCATGGCATTCTGTGTAAAGTTGCCAAGTGCCAGCCGCAGGTATGTAACCCAATCAGTGTCCACAGCTTCAGCTCCAAGATACTGAACCACCTATAATTGCTCTCACAGGGCAGTAGGAAACTTTCCCTAGATGAAAGCTGTCTCGACTGATTCATAATACCCCAAAGCAACTGGATACCAAAAACATTTTAATCTGCTCTTTTTTTAAATGCCAAACAAACAAAACAGGAAGTGCATTTACACTTTCCCTCTCGCAGCCCCAAGAGGGACCAAAAAGGGAAAAAAAAAAACCAGCAAATCTTGAGGGTGTGAAGATCTCACTCCATAATCTTGTGTGCCTGTTACCATTTTTCTGGCTGTACATTATCAAGTAGGCTGGCAGAGCCTCAGAAAAGCCAAAGGGGGATCTGCGTAACCTTTTCTCTAGGCTGGAGCAGTCCTGCCCAGGGGAAATGCAGCAAGCCACAAATGTGAGCCATGATGACAATTTTTCGTTTTTGGAGCCATATTTAAAAAGGTAAAAAAAAAATAACAGGTGAAGTTAATTTTCGTAATAAATGTATTAGCCCGATGTAACCGAAAGACTCATTCCAAAATGCATTAAGTATAAAAAATTGGTGCAACTGTTTACATTCTTTTTTTCCCAAGTCATCACATACATGTGTGCTGGCCACTCACAGCCCCTCACAATTCTGAAGAGGCGACTGTGACAGCTTAAGAGCCACATAAGGCCCCTGGCTACCACACTGGGCAGCGCGCACAACCCTCCCTGTCAAAAAACTGCTGAAATCATCAGTTTCTGAAACTGCCTCTGTGATGGACACACAGGTAAAAGGGATTAACCAACTTAGTCTGGGCAAGCTGCCAGATGGACAACTCATCCCATTTCAAAACAGGGCAGGGCACTTACGCTTTTCAAGTTCACATTTCATGCCAAACACGAAACACGGAGGACCCAATTTTACTCTACCTGGGCCATCCTCATCACCCCTGGACAAACATTTGTTTTCAACTTCATTTTAAGGACGAAGACATTCTGGTCCTGAGACAAACTCCTTAGGAAAGAGTGTGTCCCTCACCCCATCCCCCAGGAGTGAGAAATGGTCAGCCAGCCCAGCGACCCTCCCAGACAACCCATAATCCGCACCCCCCACACCCCCGACACCCCAACCCATGCTCCTCTAACAGGCAAGAGAAATGAGAGGCGCAGATGCTCAGCTTTCACGACGCCCCAGGCACGGGGGACAGACAGCCTGACAGTCGGCCTGGCCTTCCCAGGGTCACCCGCCTCCCCGGCTTGCTGCGATGCAAGGCCAGGAGCAGGGACAGGGTCCCCGGCCAACTGTAAGGCGCTGCCCAACGCTGCTTATTACTGAGAATAATCTGGAAGAGCAAATAGAAGAAAGAAAGAAAGAAAGAGTAACTTGCAACAGAGAGGGCGGGTGGGAGCCCCGTGAGACTTCTGGCTGCTCTGGCAGACCTGACCGCCGCGGAGGGGCAGGAGAGGCCTGAGGAGCCTCCATCGCCTCCTGTCCCTACCCCGAGAGGCGCGCGAAAGCCCGAGAGGCGCCTCCTGTCCCTACCCCAGCGAGCCAGCTCAGGGTGCAGGATTCTGCCCCCGAGTCTTCTCCTCATCCCAACACTGTTTGACCCAAAACAGTGGCTCGAAACAGTTAGATTCCTCGGTCCTCGGGGTTCCAGGGCGCCTGCAGCCACAGCGCCCCCGGGAGCCGGCGCCTTCCCGGGGCAGAAGCCGCCGCGTCCCGGGGAGCTGAGCTCCAGGCTCTGGGCCGGCGCTGCGCTCTCGCCTCTCCCGGCGGCTGCGGCGGCCCGGCCCGGCCCGGCCCGGCCCGGCCCGGCGAGCCCGGGGGCGCGTCTACCCGCCCCGCCGTCTCCCAACAAAAGCGCCTGTGCCCGTGCGCCCCGGGACCGTGGCCGCGGCGCGGGCGAGGGACCCGGGCGAGGCACCGCGGGCGCCCCTCGGGCGCCTCGGTTTCTAGGAGGCGCTCCCCCCGGCCCGCGCGCCAGCACCCCCGAAGCTGCACCGGAGCGAGGGCGCACAGGCCACTCCGAGGAAGTTTGCGCCGTCTCCGCGCTCTGCTCCCAACTCAGCTCTCCCGCAAGAGGGGCCGAGCACCCCCCAAAACCCAGCTCCGCTGCACCCCGCCCCGGGGCCCGGGCCCGCTCACCTCTCGTCCAGTCCACCACTTGCTTGGGGCTCCACCTGGTCACGGGCTCCATGGCGAGCGGCCGGGGGTGCGCGGCGCCCGCGGCTCCTGTCCGGAGGGCGCGCCCGCCGCGCGCGGGTCGGGGCTGCAGGGGCGGCCAGCGGGGCCCGCGCGGCCTCTCCCCGCACGCGGGGCGCCCGCGGCTCCTCCCCCGGCCGCCCCCGGCCACCCCGGCTCCTCCTCCCCGCCGGCGCCGGGCGCAGCGGCCGCTCTGGGGCCACGGCAGGCGCGGCGCGCGGGGCTTGGCGACCCCAGACCCCGGCCCGGGCGGGGCGCGGGACCCCGCGGCCCGGCCGCCCCCGCCGCTCCCCCGCGCCCGGCCCGGACCCGCCTCGGCGCTCGGGCCGCGCCCCGCTCCCGGCGCCGCTCCGGGGTCCCCGTCCGCGCGCAGGGCACCCCCAGCGCCTCCGCGCCCCGGGCCGCAGCGCCGCGCGCTCGGGTTACAAAGTTTCAGCGCCGCCCGCCGCGCTCGGAATAAAAGGGGGGGCGGGGCCGAGGGCCCGGGGAGACTCGGGGGCGGGAGCGCGGCCCCGGCGCCCGGGTCCGGTTACTTTCCCTCTCCCGGGCCCGGCTGTCCCTCCTGGGGGCAGCTGCGGGACGCGCGGGGGGGCCGGGCCCTGGGGGAGCAGGACGGCCGGCCTCGGGGTGAGCAACAGACGCCCGCCGGAGAGGCCGGGGGACCCGCCTGTTCTGACCCTCCTGAAAGCCTCGGGTGACCGCAGCTCGGCGGCCGAGCCTCTCCGGGGTTTAAATTTCTTAAAGAAGCAAAATTGCTTTCGAGTTTGCTTGGCGCGGGGGCGACCTCGCTGCTCCCCCGAGACGCGGCCCTGAGCCTTCAGCCCCGCGACGAACAGGCATCGCCACCCCTGGGGAAGTTGGGGTGAGACGTGGCCATATTATGATACTCATATTTGCGACGTGAGCTCAGGCCCCTTTGGATTAGTCACGCGTCGTGATGGAAAGTTGTCAACCAAATCAAAGATAAAAAGAAAAGGCGAGTGCGCGGCTCAGGGACAGGGCCCCGCCACGTGCAAAGGCATGGGGCTATTCACGGGGACCCTGCACTGGGGGGAAATCCTAAATCCAGTGGCCACGCCCCCCTCCTGCAAGCCTCCACCTCGAGTAGCCCCTCTCGGGTTCCAGGGGGCTGTGCCTCACACTCCTAGCTGGGGATTGTGAGCGCGTAATAAACCCTGCCTTCAATCACCATCTTTAGGGACATCAGCCTCCCTTGCAGACTGTTAACCCCTTGAGGGCAGCACCACCCTGATGGCACACAACTTTCTCTGCTGTCCCTCTTCCTACCACCTCCCTGGTAACACCCAGCACAGAGTAAACAGTGAGGTTGGTGTTAATTCTTTCCATCAGCATCTGTGAAGGCCTCCTATGTGCCTGCCACTGCATTCATTAAATATTTGTGGAATTGGTGTGATAAGTACTATTTTTACAGGTCGGTCTGGATGCACGAGTTGGAAAGATGGCTAGCAGCCGGCCTAATAAGCATCGTTGTAAATTAAGTGATAAGCAGAAACAACTTAGAGGCAGCATGTTTTTTAAAGTGAAAGCATCAGGCTCACCTTCCTTGCAACAGCTCAGAAACAGGCAGTTATGGAATACAAAGATCTGTTTGGTTTTGTTTTTGAGCAACAGTGATTGGCAGACCAGGAAACTTGGCTAAGGCAGTGACATCATTCCAGGTAGAGTAAAGGTTAACCATTTTTATGGCACTGCTGGGGAGAAGGACCTTGACTTTCATTGCTGCAGAATATTCTATTCGCACCTTCAGTTTCAGCAATCATGCTGCTTTGTCACCTTTGTTATGATTGGGGCCACCAAGCATTAATCTGAAAAACCAGGTTATTCCTGAATATGAAAGGGAAGCTATCAATAACTGCCTGGGATACCATGAAGAGATAGGACCATAGGGTCCCTGTAATGATGAAGAAAAGTCAAGTGTTAATGATATCACCATAGACTTTTACTTGATGTTTTCACAATGTTTACAAATTCATTTGCATCCGTCATGTATTGGCAACTAAAAAGCTAAAATTCAAAAACAAATAAAAAATATAAAAAAATAAAAGCTAAAATTCTGGGAGTCAAGCAAGAGTTTGCAAAATTTCATCCCACTGAGTCAACACGCTGTGGCCGGTACCTAAATACATCATCACTGGGGGGCCATGCCAAGATCTCCAACCTGGGAGCCCAATTAACTATCTAAATGAATTAGCGTTCTGTTTACACTTCAAGTCCTGAAAGCTAATTACTATTTAAATAAGGCCTTCTACCTTAATTACAGCTGTTAGCATGTGAAAGTTTAAAGAGGCCTGCCTTCCAGTCTCAAAGGCAAACTCCATGTCCTCCACTGGCCCATCATAAAGGTAGAATCTAAGATAAATAGCTTCGGAAAGTTAAGTATATACACGATGATCACTTTTTATTAGTTCATTTTTCTTCTCTGTGAGCAGTTGATCTGTAACTTTGTCACTAACCTGTGCAGCCATACAGATTGCCAAACAGCAGCCCTCTCAGGTGCTTCAGAAAGCAGAATCCCTCACTGGCACCTTGAGGTTTTCCACAGTTCCTGACACATGACAAGGAACAAGTTGGATCAAATTTGTAAGAATGGGGGCCAGAGACCAAGTTTCCTAGATTTCTCCTTCCAGTTCCTTCATCTTTCTGAATTTGGCTGTTCCTGCACGTTTATGTCAGTTATTCAATCGACAACATATTTATTCAGTATTAAGCAGGACACAGAGAGGATTCAGAAACATGTCCAGTAAATAGCCTTTATAGATCAAAGGCATCATGTGCTTTTCTGCAGGGGGATTTTCTTCTGTCATCTTTAATCAGAGGAAAGTACCCTGGTTGACCTAGACAAGGAAGGGAGTTTTAAGGATTCATGTGATATTAACAGCTTGAGGTGGTCCCAATTTTATTCATTTTTTACATTTGAGACCTAGGAATGGAGCATTTTGCATTAGTAGATATATTACTGTAATTTGTATGATAGACAAAAGAGGCGCAGATTAAGAAAACTTTTAAACTAATTGTTAATCTGTAGAGTATTACAGATTACTTCAAAATAGTATTTTGCAGAAAGAAAGCAAAATAAAGTAAGCTGCTACAAATATTGAAATTTATCTCATAGCCTAAGGTCCTTCTCTTAATTATCATTTTATTCCATAATATCATCTTTTCATTATTTTTAGAACATTAAAATTATTTAATGTTACTGAAATTTATGTGATACCACAAAAGACCCTGACTATTCAAAGCAATCCTGAGAAAAGAGAAGGACAGAGTGTTACATTCCCAGACTTCAAGCTACCCTACAAAGCTCTAGAAGCAGAATAGTATATTATTAGAGTGAAAATAAGCACACAGATCAATGGAACAGAACCGAGAGCCCAGAAATAAACCCACACTTCCATGGGCTTCCATGTTACTTACAACAAAGGAACCAGGAAAGCACAGCAGAGAAAGGAGAGTCTCTTCAACAAATGGTGTTAGGAAAACTGGACAATCACATGCAAAAGAATTAAACTAGACCCCTGTCTCACCACAGACAAAAATATGAACTCGAATGGATTAAAGACTAGTATGTAAGAGCTGAAATCTTAAAATATAAAAGAAAATATAGGCAAAACACCCAGAGATACTGCCTTCTGAGATGTCTTTGAGGACTCAACTCCATTAGCAAGGGAAACAAAAGCAAAAATGAACAAATGTGACAACATCATACTAAAAGAGTTTCTGCAGCAAAAGAAATGGTAGTTAACACAAGAAGATACCCTACTGAATGGGAGAAAATATTTGCATCAGATGCATCATGCATCTGATAAGAGGCTAATGTACCTAAGATCTGCAAAGAACTCATACAACTCAACAAAGAAATAAATAACCCAATCAAAACTTCAGCAGAAGGGCCTCCCCGGAGGTGCAGGGGTTGAGCACTGGGCTATGAAGCTGCCCGCAGCCTCTGCAGCACCCATTCGATCCCCGGCCACCAGTCCCACATGGCGCACAGACCTATCCTGCCGGGCCCGCTGCTCCCCTCAGCAGTGTACTTCATCAGTCGGCCTGTTCTGCTCCCTGCTCTGTCTCTGGTGAATTCTTTCACCCTCCCTTGCTTCTGACTGTACCCAGTGCTTGTATAAATAAATAAATAAATCTTAAAAAAAAAGGAAAAACTTCAGCAGAAAAGCTAAGAAGACATGTCTCCAAAGAAGATGTACCGGTGCCAATAGGCACATGAAAAAATATTTATTATAGGGGAAATGTGAATCAAAACATGAGATACAACCTCACACCCATAAGATTTGCCTGTGTCACTAGTACCAGAAATAAGTACTGGTGAGAATGTGGAGAAAATGGAATCTTTCTACACTGTTGGTGAGAATGTAGACTGGTCCAAATCCTTTGGAAAACAGTATGGATTTTTCTCAAAATATTAAAAATAGATCTACCATACAATCCAGCAGGCCCTTTCCTAGATATCTCTGCTAGGGAAAACCAAATTCAAAGGGCTATATGCTCTCCTATGTTCACTGCAGGCTATTTATAATAACCAAGTTATGGCCACAGCCTCAGTGCCCAGTGGCAGATGAGTGGATTAAGATGTGGTCCATACATACGCACAATGGAATACGCCTCAGATATAAAAACAAAAGGTGGAAATTTGTCATTTGGGACAGCGTGGAAGGAATTAGAGGGAATGGTGCTAAATGAAATAAGCCAAGAGGAAGACAAACACGGGGTGACTTCATCCATATGTGGAATATAGAGAAACAAAGCAAAGGGACAGACAAAAACCAAATCAAAACAAACTCTAGAAATCTAACTGTAGGACAGGAGGGGAAGGTATGGTATGACAGAAAATGGGGGAGGGACTAAGGTGGAGGTGGTGGTAGGCATGGTGTGGTAACATACATCTGTAGACATGAGTACCTACACCTCTACGTCATATGCAGTGTTGCAAACCAACATTACCTCAACGAAAATATTAAAATACAAGTAAAAAACGTATTTAATGTTGTCTTCACATGTAAT